CTATAATAGGTGGTGTCCTCCAAGGGGTCTCCCTTAGTTTTTGAAAGTTTGGTCCCAGCAATCATGGGAGTTGGTGATCCTTTGCTCTTCTTCATTCCTGCTCTCTCCAATAATTGTTTAATGTAGCCACTTTGATTAAAGAACATACCATTGTCAACCTCAGTGACCTCAATTCCAAGAAAATGATGGAGAGTGCCCAGATCTTTCAAAGAAAAGCAGCCTTGTAATCTCTTGATTACTGAGGATATGAGAGATGGATCATTCCCAGTAATTACCATATCATCAACATAGATAAGGAGAAATACAACATCTTGATCCCTTTTTAGGTAGAAAAAAGAATTGCCTTTGATGTGACAAAACCAAGTGTGGTTAATTCATGCTGAACTTTATGAAACCAAGCTCTTGAAGCTTGTTTTAAGCCATATAGAGCCTTAACAAGTTTGCAGACCAAACCTTCTTGTCCCTTAACTTCATAGCCTTGTGGCTGATTCATGTAAATTTCTTCTTCAAGCTCACAATGAAGAAATGCATTGCTTACATCTAATTGCCTGATTTTCCATGAATTTGTCACAGCAAGAGATAGAATCACTCTGATAGTTGTAGCCTTCACAACATGACTGAAGGTTTCCTTGTAATCCAGGCCTGCATATTGAGAGTATCCTTGTGCTACAAGCCTTGCTTTGTATCTTGATATGGATCCATCAGGATATTTCTTTAATTTGTAGACCCATTTGCAGCCAACCAGATTCTTTCCTTATGGGAGATCAACAAGATCACAAGTCCTGTTTTCCATTAATGCCTCATATTCTTCTGTCATAGCTTGTCTTCTTGTCCCATGCTTGACAGCTTGATGGAAATAAATTGGTTCAATTTCCTGCTGAGTATCTTTCTTAGGTTCACAAGCATAAATCCTAGGTTTGTGGATGCCTGCCTTTCTTCTAGTGACCATGGGATGAGTGTTGGCAGTCTGAAAGTATCCTTGATCATTTTGAGACCTGTCATCTTCAACATGAGTATCCTGCAATAAATTGTTAGGACTAGAAGCAGAATAGAAACCTTGCATAATAGGTAACTCAACCACCAGAGGTATAGTTTCATGGGTAGAGTGAGAGTGTTGGATGTGCTTTGTGGTGTGGAGTGATGGTTTGGAGAGGATTGATTGTGGCCTTTAGCAGGAGAAGGGTGTTGTTTGGTTTGTTATATCTGGACAAGAGGGTGCAGTAAGGTTGGTGTGGTAACAGGCACATTATCACCACTGCAGCCAGAGTGGCCTTTCACTTTCTGAGCAAAAGGAAAAATGCTCTCATCAAATT